GGATTCGAACCCGTGACCCTCAGATTGTGAGTCGAGCGCCTTATCCACCTGGCCATGCCGGGCCACCTTAACTTAAACAAACAGTATAATTTACAACGAACGATGCTACCGCGCTTGACTCAATTGTTCGTCTATATCTCTCTGTCTGCTATACAATTCCGATTAATTGTCTGGCACACTTATATACAAGAATAGAGGGCACCTAGCAAATACTGGATTATTTGTGATGTTCCCCCATCTTTCTAGAACTCATTATGTGTTACCAACATCACATGACTTCTGCTGTCGTAACAATTTTAATAGAAGTCTAAAAACAAATCCAGAAAAAGTCTGCTATTATACTTGATATCTTCAACTTCAACAGAACATAATTCACATTTTATATATAAAGCTACTCCTCTCCTCTCTTTCATACTCTATCCCTATTAAATAACCTATAACCCTGTATTTCAAAGAAATTTCTGTCATCAAAACCATCTACATTAACCATGTTTCAGTTATTCTCATTATATTAAAATCCTCCATTCCTACAAGTGCCTTAAAGTCATCTATTATATTTCTTATACTTCTAGCATTACAATAGTAACAATTAAGCCTATCCTCAGAACTACTTCTATACTTGTTTCCTATGCTAAAGTTTTCTCTACATCTTACTTTTTGCATTTAATTTAACCTGGCCTACACCACTGTTCCTTACAACTGAGTTAATAGCCCTTGCAAACAAACCAGATCGTACCCTATTTAAATGTAAATCATCCCTTCCAAAAACCTCCCATTTCCATTGAATGATCCCACAAATCCAACCAACCTATCTGATCATCTTTACATATCAATCTAAGCCTAGTATTTAGCCCTAGCGACCTACTCATAATTTCATCAACACAATTAATTCTCAGCTGTATCCCTGACACAGGAAAGTTATGGCCATTTTTTCTAAATGCCTTTATCAACCCCTTGTACTAAATTCCCACTAAAAGCCTTTTCCTTTATATCCACTAATAAAAACCCAAATGGATTCATTCTCCTTGCTATTATTTTTTGATGTTTTCAACTTCAACAGGACATTACTCACATTTTACATATAAAGCCACTCTCCCCCTCTCTTTAGTAGTCTATCCCTATTAAATAGTCTGTAACCCTATATTTCAAAGACATTTCTGTCATCATAATCATCTACGTTTAACCATGTTTCAGTTATTCCCATTATATCAAAATCCTCCATTTCTATCAGTGCTCTAAAGTCATCTATTTTATTTCTTATACTTTAGACATACTTCTAGCAACTAAGCCTACTTTTATAACTACTTCCATACACATTTCCTATGCTGAACCTTTCTCTACATCTTATTCTTTTTGCATTCAGTTTATCCTGGCCCTCATCACTGTCTAGTCCTAGTTTAAAACTTTCCTTATAGCTGGGTAAAGCAGTAGCAAACAAGCCAACCTCTACCCTATTTAAATGTGAACCAACCATTCCAAAATGCTCCCCTTTTTCCACTGAACTGATCTCACAAGTCCAACCAGCCAATCTGTTCATCCCTACATACTAACCTAAGCCTAGCATTTAGCCCTAGTGATCTACTTATAACTTCAGCCCCACAGTTATTTCTGGGCAGTATCCATGATAAAATTAAGTTATGGTATTTTTCTTTAAATGCCTTTGTTATAACTTCTTGTACTTATTAATTAGCTCCTCTGACCTACCTTTTCCTACATCAATAGCCCCTATGTGCACCAAAAAGATTGCATCATTGCTAGTCCCCTTTATTATATCTCTTGCCCTGTCAGTTATATCCTCCAACTCTACCCCTGGGTAGTAAATCTCATTCTTTTCTCCCTAGTTACACTACAGACTATCCTATACACATGCCTTGTCAAGGAATCCCCTATAACTATAACCTTCTTAAGTTTATCATCCACATACTTCTCTGACTCTTTTGTTTTCCTTCCCTCCAATAATTCCTCGTCTGCAGAAGCCAATGGCTGAAATTTGTTGCACCACAGAATAGGTTCATGATAACAAAATTCACTACTTTTGGCCCTAGAAGTACTCATTCTAACTTCCTGAAAGTCATTGTTAGCTGATGTATCCCTTTCATGTAAAAGCTTAAGCTCTTTTCTTGAAAACCTGCTGCCATTTCCCTCAGTTTCCCCTTCTCTTTATTTATTACCTATACATTAATTATGATAGCCTCCAACTTCTCCTCTAACCTACAAACTCTTACATACAAATTGCACATCTTTACTTCTAGTACTAGCTTCCTTAAAAGTACGTGCCAGTCCAGAGTTCCCAAATAAAACCCACTTATTGCACCCATCAGACCTAACAAACTGTGAACACTTAACTCCAACACTAGTCTTAACCATTGTATTTGTAACCTGGAAATAAGTACTAAATATAAATACCAGTAGACTATTGCCAACACTGTTATTGTTAAGCCTAACATTTTACAATAAAATGTTTTACAGTTTCTTATCACTACTTTATGTTCATACTAAATTAAGTTTATCTTAAATTTTACAGTAGTAACAGATAACTAGTCTTTATTTGATGTTTACATAACACTAATATTAATAATAGAATGTATTTAGCCTGATTTATAACCTACATATAACTGAATTTAAACTAAAGTCAATTAAACAAGATAAAACATGAATCGACAACTAACTAGTCTTTAGATTGTATATGTTTAATAAAACAATGTATTTAACCTGTTTTACAACTTACCAGTAAAATGAATTACAACTAAGCCTAAAAGTACAGTTACACGTCCTAAGCCTAACCTAATAATGTAGTTCAGATTATTTTATTCACCAATCTTACTAAATCTAGTTAGTTTTTGTTATTCAACCCAAATCATTACAAATAATAAAATAAATATAAAATAATATTCAAAAATATATAACAGTATAACAGCTAATCTTTCCGATGTCTTGTCTCTTCCCATTAGATTCCATTCTTTTTTGTTGTAGGAAACCAGCAATTACTTCTGTCACCATTTTTATAAGCTCTACAGTGGTGTATATATCTGCTCTATCCAATGGTATTTGAACTTTGCCAGAAGCTATTTTCAAAGCTGAGCTTCATTATTATTTGTTTACATAACATGCTGTGAGGTCATAAAAGAGTGAGAACAAAAGGCTGTACTAATAAAATCAGAGAAAGAGAAGGAAAAATGTGACAAACAAAACCTTCAGAAATATGATAGTCTCATAGCAAATAATAACCTATGCTTTCAGATGAGCAGAAAAAAATTCTAAAAAAAAAAACAATAAGTGTGTTGTTTACAGGCAAGCCTCCATGAAGCTATAAAGAAAAAGTATGAATATTTTAATTATTTTTTCTTTCTAAGTTATCATAAATAATGACAAAATAAAAGAATACCAATTTGAAAATATTTTTGATAAAGTAAACATTATTTTGAAATTTCATATGCAGGTGTGCACATAACACTGGTTTGGGTAAAATTAACAGTATTGGATAGAATATTTAATATATATATTTATTATTATTATATATCTATTTTTATTGTAAGAGTTATTTTGCATTATTAGCTTAGTTCATGAATTTGGACAAACTTAAATTTCCTAACCCGGCCACAACTTATAAGATATTAAAGTAATTACTGTCAACAGTATTGCTAAGACCAAGAACACACAAAAAACCAATAAAATATAGCATTCTAATCATTGTAAGTAACAGCATAAGAACAGTATATTATATTGTTCATTACTGGATTAAGATTTACTTTTGACCATGTAGGTAGTTTCCTCTGATCATAGGTTAATATGAAATCCTGAAACATTTAAACTCTAAAAAAATGTCCCTTACTCATTCCCACAAACTTAGAAATAAAGAAAAAAGAAATTTGTAGAACAATACAAAATTTGTTGCATAAAAATATTTTCAAATTAGAATGCTTGGCATTTTCAACAGTGGACAATTTGTATTCACATTTTACATTCTGATTTACAATATAAAGAACTATCAAACCTACTCTGATGTCAATGTTAAACCTTAAAACTCTTGTACTATCATAATATTTGTAATAATTTCTTTGTGTGTATTTAGCTCACAGCAGACTGTATAAATTCTATGTATTTTCTTTTATATCAAAGTTCACAAAAGATTATTTCTACGACACATTATGTTCAAAGTTCTTACAAACTGTTTCTAATTTATAATATACAGATTCGTTTACTATGTTTGTAAAAGTTACCTTTGTTTGGGGAATTCTGCAGGTCTACTGTAACATCACACAACAAACGCAACAAAGTCTTTAAGATGTCTTCACAATGGCTGTCAATCCTGTAAACCATAAATGAATTATCAAATATAAGAGTTTCTACCAACATGTTAAATGAAAGTTAATTTCTAGAAAGGAGAATTTTTAATAAAAAAATATACATATATTAAAAACTGCTAAAACAAATTATTTTGAAAATTATAGATTAACCAATTTGTATTCACACAATTCACTACTAGTTGGGGTTCACATATTGCATAATATTGGTAAGTTTATGTTTTGGCCTGTTACACAGTTTAAAGAATTGAACACTTATTTATGCAATTTGGCATATAAATAGTTGAGAAAAATTTAATGGTTTAATTTTAGGGTTAACTATAAGGAGGCAGACTACAAGGGAACTGAATGAAATATTACTTTTTTAATGAGCTAGTAAAGCTACTATTATTCAATTTAAAAAGGGACCTTACCTTGGCCATGCTACAGTAATAAGCTTTTTTAATGCAGATAAGCAGTTTTTTCTTGCTGTTTCATCTGGACCACTATCAATGATAATATATTCCAACAAGACTTGTAATGTGTGCTGAAATGATATAATTCAGATGCAATAATAATAAACGCAACATGCTTAATATGTAGATACACCCATATTACTTAATGAGTATCATAACTAGAAAGTATAGTGAGTCCAATACAAACATTCTCATAATTTCCCGAAAATACATATACACTAAGAGAGAAATGACATTTAATGCTGTAACAGCATAATACAGTTATGGGTATCATTAAAACTTCATCAGATGTATTAGCTCAAACAACAAATAAGCTGATAGCTATTCATTATGATTAATTAAATCTTTAACATATAAGTTCAAACAGCATACTAGCTGATGGCTGATCATTACCATTAAATCTTTTAACAAAAATATTAATTCAGAAAACATTACTATTTTCATCTGTATATTATTACTAAATCTTTAACAAATATTGATTGTTTGTTTATTGAATTTCATGCAAAGTTACTTGAAAGGTACCTGTACCAGCTGTCCCTTATTTTGAAGTGATAGACTAGAGGGAAGACAGCTAGTCAACACCACCCACTGTCAACTCTTAAGCTATTCTTCACTAATGAATAGTGTTATTGACAATTACCTTATACTGCCCCCACAACTGAAAGGGCAAGCATATTTGGTGACAGGGTTGGAATTCCCAACCCCCAGATTGTGAGTCAAGTGCCCTAAACACCAGACCCTTTTAACAAATATATTACCTGAGACAGCACGCATTCATTAAACTTCTTCCTCACATGATATCTAAAAGTTTTTCATAACTCTTTAATGAAAACTAACACCTTTTTATTGTGGTTTTTGTTTTAACTCGGAGATAAATGTTTTACTCATCCTTTATCATGTCAGAAAAAATAACAAAATATTAGTACAAAAATCATCTAAAAGGCAGAAACAGGTATTTCTTTAATTACACTACAACCATTAGCCACCAGGCATACTATAATAACTTTAATTTTGATTGGTTCTTTGACAATTTAATTTATTTAGAAATTGAACATGAAATATTAATGAATTATAGTTACATATATACAGTGATAAGAATTGCAGTATACAAAGTTAATACTTGCTGTATTAAAAATGCTTTAATCAGATATGAAGGCCTATGTTCACTATAAACATATTCTGAAGTAGTATGATCACTAAAACAGAATCACTTGTGGTGTGGTATTATTAAGTCAGAAAGATGAGATTTTAGTTTTAAAATGAAAACTGTGAAACCAACTTACTGCACTGAGACAATGAAGACTGAAAAAAATTCAAATGCCACAAAACACATTATAAACTTTTCAAACAAGTTTAATTATTATATTAAAAGATTCATTATATGGTTTTAGTTGTCATGTATTCAAATTTACATATAATTATGATACACTAATATTAAAAAAAGCCTGTCACATTGGAAATGGGTTCACAAGTTCGCAATAAAAGAAAAAGATATGGAAAGCCCCACATACTGATATGTATTTCCTTGAAGCATTTAAAATTATTTTTGATACCCAATATATCTTACCTTAATGTGATAAACAAGTGTCATTCCTAGTTTACAAGTTATCTTAACCCTCTCTCCACAGGCATCCTTTACTGCACGTCACGTTTTCAGTGAGTCATATTCAAAATTTAATTAAACTATTTCTTGTTCACGTTATACCAATTAGTATAGCATAAAACTGTAGCTAATAATCCATATTTTAATAGCATACAAGTTTTTAATTTTATAAGGCAATATTTTAAAAAAATCCTGAATTTCCCCAAGTGTGAGAAATGTGACATTTTTTCTCTAGGCATCCCGTCTTCTCTAACTTATCCCCTACCCTCCAATAAGTTCAAAACTTAACATAAATTACTCATTATAATATTGTCATCACTGAGGCAATTCATAAAATTTATAGCCTTCAATCTTGTTTGGTTACAGAGCCGTCAAATAGAAAATCAGACTCTTCTTGCTACACCCACCTGTCACATCCTCTTTTTCAGGATTTGTCAATAGTTCTCTCACATGTTTAATATTATATTATTTATAACCAATAGAAAGCCAAGGTTTTCATCAATCAAATAATATATCATGTTATGTTCTTTTCTGTACAGAAAATTATAAAAGCTTTGTTTCCATGGGAAAAAATCGATTAGTTAAGATGAATTTTTAATGGCTCTTTTTGCATAGTTAGCTTTTGTATGTTATTATTCTATGTTCTTTGATGCATTATTTAATTAAATAAAAATTATTTAGTGCACTACTACCATTAGCATAAAAAAAGTAGACTTAAGTGTCACTGACAATCGACAGCAAGAAAAAAGAAGATTTGAGTAAGTACTTTATTTCTTGTTTTTTATGTGTATTCTTTATTTATTATTATAAAATTACCTAAAATTCAAAAATAGGAAACTGTTTAGGTTAGTTAAGGTTAGATTAAGTAAAATAAATAATAATAATAAAACATTTTCACAAGGCACACATGCAAGCAGCTCTGAGTATCTTGTGAGTAATGTAATTCAATAGTGTAATATGAACTGCATATACTCCAAGTGATTTACAACTTATCATGGCATGAACAGTAGTTAGACATGATTCAGAGAGCAATACAGCAATAAAATTTAAGTATCAATACATGTATACTGTTACAAGTTTAAAGCTACTTAGGATAAACAAATGTAGTTTCATGTTACAATTTAAAGTCATTCTGGAAAGAAAAAAAGGGTAATTTAGATTTATTTCAATTTTTTTTGGGCGGTTACAAGGTCGGTCACATTGACCAACCTTATATAAAATTAAGGTAGAGAAAATAACAGATAAACATAAAGTTTTATTGTAAAAAAACAATGTTTGAAATGTATTTAGCAGATTTTAGTGATTACAAAAATGAAATTTGAGATGAAGAAAAGTATTTTTAATCTTAACATGAAAATCACTTTAAACTCGGACAAATCTTTATTAAAAATACTTCAATAAAAAATCTGATTTTTTGTATGTAAAAGACATGTAATATTTATTGAAAGTCTGCCAAATTTTGTGAAGACACACATACTATATTAAAAGTTAGTAGTATCAAAATTAAAATAAGTACAAAGTGGTCACATAATCGGTCAATTTGAAGAAGCCCATGTTGAAAGAGTTAATGTGTCAAACAACTGTCATTCCTAATTTATGAGTTATCTTAATATGACAAACAAGTGTTGTTCCTAACTTATAAGTTATCTCAATGTGACAAATAACTGTTATTCCTAATTTGTAAGTTATCTAATGTGACGAACAAACATTACTCATATGTTATGACATACTTTACCTTAATGTGACGAATAACTGTTATTCCTAATTTGTCAATATAACTCAGGATATGTCTTGAGTAAATCTTTCGATGGTCCAACATTTGTTCATGTTCCATATCTATTAAAAGCTTCTGGTAAAACTCATCATACTTTCCAGGCTATTGAGTAAAAAAGTCAAACAACTGTATCTTATTCCACGACATTTTTATAAAAAAGGCATTTTATGATAAGCAGTTCCTTTCTTTTTAAAATCATTTATCTGCAACTTAAAAATAAAACCTTTTTGTAAAAAGTCAGCTTTACAACAATGTTTAAGTTACATAAGGTATACTCGAAAGATTTGAATCAGGTATCCAGGTTTTAACATTATTCATCTTTGTTTAAGCATTCAATTAAAAATACATGAAATTGAACACACTTTCTTGGGATAAATAATAATCACGAAATTATTTAAGAAACTACAAGAATTAGCTAAGTTTAAGAGTATTTTTGTCAGAATTAATAATGTTATGCTTCCTTAAATTTTGAAATGTAGAATTACTGCTTTACACCAAGATAAGAAATTAATAAAACTCTTAAAATGTAATGGATTTTAAGTTCAACACAAAAATCTTGCTAAAAAGAGTTTGTATACTGACTACATGTATTATGAATGTTTTTTTTTTCATTAACTGACACTGAAATGTTTAGCTATTCAAGTTTCAATACAAAAATACAACTAAGTTATATCACACATCAGAAAGCTTCTAATTCATATCTTACCAAAGTGACCTGTCATACACCTGGTTTTCACAGGTACAGTGATAACATTCAGGTAAAATTAGAAACTACACTAACTGGATATGATAGAAAATGTACTACAAAATTTAACTGAATGTATAAGCTGAATGAGTTTGAGAAAAGAAACTGGACACAGTCTAAAACACTGTGAAGGAGAGTTACATGTAAAGACAAGACAAATGTAAAATTCAAGTCTGGTAATGAATGTACTCAGCACTACTCTCTAGATGGAGACTCTTTCTTAGAAGACCAGGACAAAAAGTGAGGGAACTAACTACTATATATTTATTACAATGAGTTAATTTTCCCATAGTGCACTTGCCACCCATTCCACTTGATCATCCCATACAGGAAGATGGACACATCTTCCAGTTATTTCTGAACCTTTATATAGCCAATGTCACTAAAGAACACACCAGCAAAGACTAAATCATTCTCAAATGACACCTTTCATGAAAAAGCTGTGTAATACTGAAGTGGGATGACTTATTATAATATGTGAGAAGCATGAGAATAAAGATGTATTATATCATATTCAGTAGAACATGTTTAAAATTGAAAATTCCAAATATTTTGGTGAAATAAACCTATTCACATTTCTGAGCTAAAAGGTAAAAGAGAGAGAGATAATTAGATACTTTTAAATACCATAAAAGTTAGCATTTTCCAACACTGAAATTGTATGTCCAATAGATACCTTTTTTTCACAAAAGTAAACATTTTCTTAAATCTAAAATGTATTTCCAATCATACTTACCTCCCCTCACACTACAGCTATTACTCGACTGCCAAGGTTTCTTCCTTTGCCCATCTAAACATTAGTCTAATTTTTTCTCGCTTGATCCAATCTTTCATACACCACTTAATTGCCCTTGGCAATATTTGTGTCATGACACTCCCCACCTATGTCAATGGGCCCTCTTATTCTAGTACTGTATACAAGCACCTCATTCAGATAATGTTATCACTTTTTCGAGACTAAATCAATCCACAGTCTCTAACACTGGCTTTTAGTGAGGAGGAAGGGTAGGAGAGTGTCAGCATAGGTAAGTATTCTTGGAAATACATTTTCGATTTAAGAAAATGTTAACTTTCAAAACATACCTCCTCTCATACTACAGCTAGAATCCTACATAAAGAAGGTGGAGGGGCTGGTAAGGGTATTATCCATACAGTAAGCATCTGCATAGATCATGGGTGTATTAAGAGAAGACTGGCCCCCTAGTGGTGGAATTGCACCACATCCAGAACAGGTATGCTTTTCACCCGGAACTTAATTCATGTACTGTGGGTGGAACTTTACATGATTTATCATCACTACTAGCCAGGCCCCAACCAGATAGCTGAGGTTCCACTGCTTGGGTTGGAATTATAGGGCTATGGTCCCTATATCCCACATTGGTGGCTAGGGCAATTGAACCACAAGATATATATATACGCACTTATGAGTGGATCCAAATCTATAGCCATAGAGTGACGCATTTTG